AAATTCCTGTCTCCACCCTCAAGTGTGAGAGACCATTGGCTGTAAGAGAAGTAACCTTCATTAGAGTCACTCTGTCTACCCTCTTGAGCCCCAGAAGATCGCTTCAGTGAAGTGGGGTACACATACCCACCACGTGCTCTGACTCCCCCATTCAAGGCTTCTGCTGTGCCCCTCACACATCAGCAGATCTTCCTCAATGGTGTGGTTTCCAGGACAGAGGCTGACATGCCCACTGCCTGCCTCAAGACTGTTCCTCGAGAGCCTCCCACACTCCCTTACTTCCTCAGCTTTCCATAGAATGCTTGTCCAATACAGCTGCTCACAGATCCATGAGGTCATTTTCTATGTGGGCCCTGTACCCATTTTCACAAGGTACTTGTCTAAGCACAGTATTATAACAAAGTTTAGTTAATAGTTTAATTGATGTTTAGGACAGCCAGAGATCAACAGAGAAACCCTGTCTCGAAAACAACAACAAAACCAAGTTTAATTTATTTTTGCTTGCAGTTTATGAATGGAGCATCTCCTTTTTACAGATGGGAACAATAGCTTGTAGGTTGTGTCACAGCAGAGGGTTTTGTAAGGTGGAGCCAGTTGGTGGCCATCAGGTTGCTAAAAATTCCTTTATTTTCTTTTAAGGATTAAAAGATGGTTTTTTCAAGGTCATAAGGATTATGACTCAAGGAGACTGAAGTGTTCTTTTTTGGGGGGAGGGTTCTAGACAGGGTTTCTCTGTGGCTTTGGAGGCTGTCCTGGAACTAGCTCTTGTAGACCAGGTTTGTCTCAAACTCATAGAGATTTACCTGCCTCTGCTGGGAGTAAAGGCGTGGGTCACCACCACCCGGCTGAGGCTGGAGTGTTCTATTTTCAGGAAAAACTCATCTGTTTTGAGATCTGTCCACTTTCCTCCAGTCAGTTTAATCATGTGCCATTTGTTATGAGTGACTCCATTTAGTGAACTCTGGTCTTTTCAGGGCCTGGTGCAAGATCTCAGTCCACAACAATGGCCTCCCAACATTCTCGATTTCTTCATTCTTACACTATCCGATCTTTCATTCACATCAGCCCTATAGTTACAGAAGCAGGTCTGTGTCTGAGTTTGAGGCCAGCCTGGTTTACATAGTGAGTTCCAAACTGAGCAGGGCTTCATAGTGAGACCCTGTCTCAGAACAGAACAGAACAAAACACAAGAGAAAAGTATACTCTTATATTTCTAGAAGGGTCATGTTCCCTCCCAAGTCCCAGAGGAGAATTCTCCCTTGCCTTTTCCAGCTTCTGGTGGCTGGTGGTGTCCCTCTATCTGTCTCTCTATGGTCACCTTCCCTCTGTATCTGTCATCTCCCTCTTTCTCTTATAAAGACAACAGCCCTAAATCTAGCGTGATCTTGAAACCCTTAGTTACACCTATTTCTTGTTAATCTTTGTGTGTCAGAGGGTGTGTGTGTGTGTGTGTGTGTGTGTGTGTGTGTGTGTGTGTAAGCAGCTACAAGCTACCATACACTTGTAGCAGTCAGAGGACAACCTCAGATGTCAGTCCTCACATGCATTGTGTCTGAGACTGGGCCTTTCAATGTTTGCCACAGCATATGCCAGACTACCTGGCCCGTGAGCCTTCTGCCATTTCCTGTGTCTATCTCCTTTCTCTTGCTGTAGGAGTTCTGGGATTACAATGGCATACAACTTTCTATGTAAGTTCTGGGAACCCAAACCAAGCTCAGATCCTTACATTTGTGTGGCAGGTGTTCTGCCCACTGAGCCATCTCCTCAGTGCAAAGACTATTTCTAAATAAGGTCTGCAACTGGACATGTGTCTGGGAAGGTAAATGTGGGACACTGTAGTAGGCAAGGTTACCAAGGTCATCAATGGGGAAATGACTTCCCCCAGGTTACAAAGTGAGAAAGTAATAGGAATTGTCATTTGAACCCAGGTCTTCTGCTTATCATGTGCCTTTAATTTGTTAAAAAAAAAAAAAAAAGATTGCTGTCCTGTTGCTGCTTGGTTATATTATCTGCTTTGTAGGAAATGAGATTTGGTAGCTATTACCCTAAGTTAACTCAGACATCATCTCACTGTTGCTCTGTTAGTATATTATTGACAGTGACATTGAAGCCATTAGTGCCGATGGGAATCCCTTAGGTGGGAGTCACTCCCTTATGTCTGATATGGTGACACCACAGGGACAGATGGCCTTGCCTATAGTAACAAGAAAAGTTTGTGGGGAGAGTTCTGGTTATAACATCAAGATGTTATATGAATCAAGATTCATAATCTCTATTCTAATTTTAACATGTGCATTGTCACTGATGTTGTACATTATAAAAGTAGCCTCAATGTCCTAGTGACCACTTTGTGTTAAATCACCATGAAATGCTCAGTGCCTTTGGCACTGTTCAACAGTTCCCCTGTTAATGCCCCACTGTTTAATTCAGCCCCACCCCACCCCCCATACACTGACCATACAAGGCAGGCTGGTCCATGAGTCTCTGGCCAGTGACTTGTCCTTTCTCAGAGTAGCTCTAAGGGCCTTTGGAAAACAGGAAGATGTGTCATCATTATACCTGGCAATCAGTGTCTCCTAACATTCAGGTGTTTCTTTACCATGCTGGTATTTTTATTTGTTTGTTGGTCTGTTTTTCTTTCTTTCTCTTTTCTTAGTTCACTTCCAAATCTGGAAGAGTAGGTCTTTTCAAAATAACCTAATGGCCATAGCCCAAACCCCACAGCCAAGTGTTGCATAAGGGACTAACATGGTTTACTGATTGTCATAAATCATTAAATAATCTGAGTGAAAATAGATGTATGTTATACATGCATGCATAGGAGTCATAACAGATAGCTGAGTCGGGCGGAGCCCCTTTGCTATGGAGCACACCTGTCTGTGGATGTGGGTCATACAGTGATCTGTCGTGTAATGCACGGGTAGATTCTGAAAAACGTGTCTGTGATCTGGTGATTTGCTGTGTGACCATCCTAAGCCTACTTGCACAAATCAAAATAGCATATACAAGCCACTCACTCGATGTTGTCTCCCCCATCCCTTGCTGTGTAGTCCAGACAGGCCTGGAAGGCACAGTGAGCCTCTGGCTTCAGCCTCTCAAGTACAGGGATTACAGGCATGCAGCGCTGCTGATGTCTCTTAGAATAAGAGATACAGTGAACGCAGGCTATAGGAATCTGCTGCATGCAGAACTGGACAGTCAACTTTTTTTTTTTCTCCTAAGTAAAAGGAATATGCTCTCTAAGGTAGCAATGAAACATAAAGCAGTAACAGCTGCTCATTGTCACTACCAAGTATCATACTGCACGTAACTGTGAATACTGTTTTTAACGCCCCCCCTTCTGTATCTTCATTGTACATGGGACTGAATTACATAAGGACATTTCTATACGTGTATATAATATACTTTGAGCATGTCTCACCCACACCCCTTTTCATTCTTTTGAGACAGGGTCTGTTCTTTTCTTTTTTCTTTTTCTTTTCTTTTTTTTTTTTTTTAATGGCCTATTCTATAGCTCTGATTGGCTAAGAAGTCATAGCAGTCATCATGCTTCAGCCTCCTGAGTGCTGGTTTTATAGGCATGAGCTTCCATGCCCTGCTTGCACCATGCTTCTGTATAACTAAAAGTATAATGGATGTGTTTTACTGACATCCTCACAGACCTCTACATGATGCATGGAACTGTCGGCATGGTTGTGATGTCACTTGGTGATGAACAGTGTGGTAATCTTCCATGTAAACCAAAACATTGTTGTGCAGCATGCAAATGAAGTTATTTTGGGGACCAACCTAAAGGATCAAGAGGAATAGATGAAATCATCTATCTTCTCACCCTGCCTACCCTTCTGATATGAGCCAATCTATTATATTACATTGTAGGCAGAGTTTTTTGTCAGGACCACCGATCCTGACAAGTAATCACAAGTAACCACACAGAGACTTAATATTAACTATAAATGCTCAGTAGATAGCTTAGGCCTAGGAATAACTAGCTCTTACAACTTAAATCAACCCATATTTCTTTTTTTCTTTTCTTTTCTTTTCTTTTTTTTTTTTTTTTTTTTTTGGTTTTTCGAACTCACAGAGATTCCCCCTGCCTCTGCCTCCCTAGTGCTGTGATTAAAGGCGTGCGGCACTAACGCCCAGCAATCAACCCGTATTTCTTATCTACACTTTGCCACATGGCAGTACCATTTTTCAGCATGGCATGTGCATCTTGCTTCTCTCCACATCTCCTGGTGACCCTGCCTTCTACCCTGCACTCTTTTTGTCTGCAAGTCCTGCCTAACCTCTGCCTGTATAGCTACTGGCCAGTCAGCTTTTATTAACCAATGAAAGTAATACATATTTACAGTGTACAAAGATTGTTCACAGTATTACATACTACTGACATGTTTAAAATATGCTTGGGGACACAACACAGCTAGAAATCAAGGTTTTCTGATGAAATAGAACCAATGGGAGTTATTTAGGCAGGCAGCCAGACAAAAACTTATTATGGGAATTAATTTATGATTATGGAGTCTAGGGAGTCCCATTGTTACCTGGGAAAGTCTGCAAGTCCAGAAGCCTGAGGACCAGAAACACCAAGTCTCAGGGCAAGAGAAGACACTATGTCAGCTCACAGAGAGCAAATGTTCTCTTCTCCTACTTTGTGTTAGATTTGGGTCCTTGGTGGGACAGTGCCCACACATATTGGTGAGGGACTGACATCTTGCTCCTGTCTCACAAAAGCAACGAGAAATGCTTTACAGGTATTGGGCATCCTTTAGCCTGGTCACGTTAACATTAACTGACCAGTGTGCCAGGTGAAGCTACCATCCTCAGCTGTGCTCACGATAACCAACCTGCAGAGTGGAGAAAGGTGCGCTCCCCACAGCACAGGGCTTCAACTCAATTCAGTGAAGTCTGTCTGGTGAGTGAGGCAAGGAGGCTCTCAAGGCTCCCTGCATGTGGCTAGGTCCTTAGCTGTCATGTCATCTTTATTACAGTGAGCTCACCTGGAAGGGCACCTGTCTTAAGGAGCATTGTCTATTCCAGATTCTGTGTTTGGTGTATGGCCTTTCTCTCTGGTGGCTAGAACCTTTCCACAGCAGGTTTTCAACAAACTTCAACCCTGCATGAATCTAATTGACACAAATAACAGGAAAGTGGTTAGATAAAATTAGCAAAGGGAGACTCTCATCCGTCCCACTCACTTCTACCCAAGGCCTCCTGGCCCCTTTGACAGTAGTACATAAAGGCAGAACATGTGTTCTGCACCCGTGCCCCAAGCTGCCAGCATTCCAGATGCCACAGCATACCTTCAGTGAGTTTGTGAAACCCAAGAACCTGGGAAGAGTGACTTGCACAGGATTCCAAGCGAGGAGTCAGGATTCAGGAAGCCCACCTGCAGGCACTTCCTGGGCCACCCCAGCCCCACAGGCTTGGTTCTGTCCAAATCCCAGAGTCTGCAACTCTAACTGCACTGAAAGCAGTGGAGGGAGACTATTGTGGCTTTCTGCTCACTTGCCATCTTATTCCTTCCTCCTTCTTTTTTAATCTTAGTTCTATTTTCTGCCTATCCTAGCCCTAGATGTTCAGACTCTGGCACTCAGTCCAGAGGCTGTTGACTGAAGTGACTGTCGCCTTTCTCAGGTGACCACGATCAGTCAGTTCACAAGTCTGTTGGAGTGAGCGTGACCAATGGAGCCTGGACTCCTTCAACTCTAGAGGAATCCTAGTCCTCAGCAACGTCCAAACTAACAGGAAGGCCGAGCGTGTGAACAGCATGGGGTGTGGATGGGGATGATCTATAAGGGTCCCCAGATTAGCTTGAGTCCACGTGCTTCAATTCATCCCTAAACACTGTGAAATTACTTGTAAAATTTTCTATGTGTAAACACACTGTTTTTTCCCAGTGCTAGAGACTAAACCTTTATGTAGGGCCTTATATAATTCATATTTGTTAAACAGGCCTACCACCACTGAGCCACATCCCAGCCCTACCTACAGACACCCCTCTCTCTCTGTCTGTCTCTGTCTGTCTCTGTCTCTCTCTCTCCCCCTTCCCCTCTCTCTCTGTGTAGGGATTGAATGTAAAGCGTCAAGCAAGCTGGGAAGACACCCTGCCACTGAGCTGTACCCTCAGACCACCCAATCACACATTTTTATTGGTAAATTCATAGCTTTCACCAGCTCTGTTGCAAAAGATAAAGTCACCATCTACACTGTCAGAGTCTGGTTGTTGTGTTTATTGCCCTTGGGTAGTTTCCTCAAGCAGATCAGACTTGAACTCATCCTTAGAAAATGAGATTTAGACAATAACTGGGTAGGAGGCAACCCTAGAAGGAAGAGTTCCCAAAAGAACTCCCAAAAGAGTTCCCAGTCACCTTTTGTCTGTCTAGCTCAGGAGATGATGTTAGTAGCTGCTGCTTTCCAGAGTTTTGTGAACTCAGCGCCTTTCCCCTCGCACTCTTTCCTCATTCCTCCAAAGAAGGCTTGACTCATATCAGAGTGGACACTCATCAATATTTGATGAATGTGTGAGTCAGGTGGAGCAGCTGGCATGAGAGTGCCTTGGAAACATCTTCAGCTGCAGGCTCTGGTTACTAAGCACATGTACCCTGAGCTCTGCAAATAGCCTGCTCTAGGTGAGCATTTTTTGTCCCCCTGAAACAGTCCTGTCTCCATAATGGGACACAAACATCCCCTGTCCATGGGAGTGTCTCTGGACCCATCAAATGAAGGGTAGCTGTTCTGTCAACACTGACAAGATAGGCAGTTTCCTAAGTGCACAAAGTGACCTCGTCCTCCAAGGGCTTATTTAGCCTCTTCACCCAGCACCTGCTGATCCCTGTGTCCCTGCTTCCCTGCTCTCACTCCAGCATGGGAGCCTCCTCGGGGCCTCTGCTTAGCAGGCTGAGGGAGGCGGCTACCTCTCTGCATCTCAGGACAATGGTGAGGAGAAGGGCCCCTTTGCTGAGCACACTTGGGGTTTCCCATGGCCTGCCCACAGCTTTTTAGCTGTGCCCTTGCTGAGAGACTATAGCTATTGGCTTGTGTTCTCCTGAGTGCCACCAAGTTGACAGGGTGAATCATTATCGTGACTACACTACCACAAGGAACGGGGGCTGGTTTCAGGGTGGGCAGGCTTTTGAAAGGCATTGGTTGAAGATGACAGGCATTCTCAACACACATTAGGGAAGACAGAGGTGATTTTTACATATACCTGTTCTCCGCAGCAGGTGCCACTAAAGGAAGCACCATGGGAACTAACAGGGTGAACTCCACACGAAGAATTAAGAGATATGTTCCAGATCTGTCATTTACAAACTCCAGATGTGTCACTTAGGCTCTCCATGTTTCAACTCCCCTACATGAAGGCTATACCTACATTACTATTTGGGATCATTGTGATGGCCAAATGTGTGGTACCACCTCCAGGGGCAAAAGGGTGTACTTACTTGGCCTTATTGTCATCATCAAGATAGTCCTTATTACTATTATTTGCAGTGCTGGCACTCAAACCCAGGGCCTCCCACATGCTATGCAGCTACTCTACCACTGAGCCATACGCCATGGTAGTAAGATGTCCGCCAACACACCTGCTATGTGCAGAGCACTCACGTGTCAGGTGCTTCCTTTTATCTAGCTCAGTTCCCACGGCGGCTCTGAGGTTGCATGAGCTGTGGTGGGTGCCTTGATTTAGTCTACTAGTACAGGTCAGAGAGTGGGTTTTAGCCCAGGTCGGTTTCTGGTCTCCACCCTTAACACCCACTCATGATTCTTTTCTCCTATTACTTTGTCCCTTCATATATTAGTACTAGCTGGGCATGGTGACACATTTCTTGTAGGTATACTACAAGAGGCTGAGGCAGGAAGGTTGCCAGTGTAAGACAAGCCTGGGTTACATAGTAAGAGCCTATCTCAAAAACAAGACCGTCTGTGGCTGAGCCCTCCACCCCAAACCCTTCTTGTTGTTTGTTCCATTTCTTACCCAAACTCCTCTTGCTACCACTTCTGATTTTTTTTTTCTTTCTCCCTGACTTGGCTTCAGTCCTTTTGTTCCTGCTTCCAGTTCCCTGCCCTGACCTCTAAACGTGATATACTGACACCCTTTTAGTGGCAGGTCGTCTGTTCTTGTGCCATGAGAGTGGTCACTCCATTCCCAGGTTTCCAGGCTCTAAAATGAAGCTAAGTAAATAGAGAAAAAGTGGCCACCTTTTCTTCTGTTGTCACTGAGCACAGGTGCCCCAGGCTGGTTCTCTGCAACAACAGTGAGGATGTGGCCCTGGATCCTCCCTCGTGGACATAGCGAGCTCAGCCTCCTGCAGGAAACCTTGTTAAGTATCTTGATTCCTTGAGACAGGAGTAGAGACTAGCTCGCCCATCAGTTCCCAGGGGTCATGGCTGCCACCTCAAACGTGGACAAAGGAGCTAGAGGCACCGTCCTAACATTACTAATAGGAATAGATCTGCAAGCCTACCTTCTGTCCTTAGTCCTGTGTCCTTGGGGACACACTCCTGGGAGCTGTTGCTAACATTGGAGTGTCAGCTGTGGCCCTGGCTCATGCTAGTGCATGGCTGTAGTTCAGCTTAGGCCCTTTAAGAATCAAGGACACTCATTTCCCCACCCCCAACTTCCGTTGCCTGGTTCCCCAGACCCCCATCCTAATCCTGTTCAATGGAGGGCAGTTCTCCATGCTGAGGTCCCACCTGATAAACTGATTTCAAGGACCACACTCTCAAGGCAGGCTCCTTCCTGGGAAGGTGCCTCTGTAGAAGCTGTCCACTCTCCCTGTGCAGGAATCTACCTAACAATTAGGTGAGAAATAAATCAAAGCCAAAGTTGCCTGATGAAATTCAGGAGCCAGCAGTGACCCTTGCCACACATATAAATCCCAGCCGGCCAGCCAGGGGCCTTTGTCTGGTCAGAGAGTTCAGGATTATCGGGCCCACTTTGCTGATGTATGGAGGCACCGGCTGTCGGAGTGTTTACTAACGGTTATCACCTCTGTGCTGGGGCTGTTATCACAGGCAGGGCCGCCCGCCGGGGCTGGGGCTCGCACCCTCTCTATTACCACCTGTCAGTGGCAGCGAGTGTGCACTGACACTGCCCAGTCCTGCCCACCGAGGAAAGATAGTTTCTGACGGCTGATCAAAGAGGAGAAACAAGACCTGATAAAGAGTGTGTGTTTCATGTACTTTTAACTTTGGGGAGCCGTCGGCATTTGCATTTTTTCCTGGTCCTCCTGGGGCTGGCAGGAACCAAGCCCAATAAATGTAGTGGATTCAGTTACCTAATCGAGGGGGAAATGGTATGTGCTTAAAGCAACAGACCATGGCCATAATCTCTTTCCAAGAAGGAGTGCATGCAGTAAGCCTTCTCAGTGAACTTGCTGTGGAATAAAGTCGAGTCACTTGAATTCAGACTTTGAAGTGATCTTGGCTTTCAGCGGAACGCAGTGCACTTTCTGGAACTGGGGAGCAGGTTTGGATTAAGGAAGGATCCTTGCTGAAGATGCTATCACCCAGCTGTACCGCTCACATCCCTGAAACGGTACCCGCACATGCCACTGCCCGTGACGGCTGGGAGCCGATCTGCAGTGATGGAGAACGAGTTCCAGACCGAGGCATCAGCACATCTGAGTCCTGGCACCAAGTCTGTCACAGCCTGCTGTTTACTCTAAGCCCTTGACCGCGCTAAGCCCCAACTGTAAATGAGGCAGGGTTTAGGCTATAGAATACAGTGGTTCTGGAAGCTTTGTGTTCTTATGTTCTTAGACTACATAACCCTCCCCCCTTCTTAAATCTTTGTGGTGGTGGTGGTGGTGGTGGTGTGTGTGTATGCCACAGTATGTGTATGGAGGTCAGAGGACAATCTTGAGTGTCAGTCTTCACCTTCCACCTTGCTGTTCACCACAGTGTGCACCAGGCAAGCCTGCCGGAGAGCGTCTAGAGGTGACCCTGTCCGTGTTTCTCATCTCACCATAGGAACCCTCGGATTATAAATGCTTCCGATACTGCACCCCGCTTTCCCTGGGTTCTGGAGATCTAAACTTGGGACCTCATGTGTGTTCAAGGGCGTTAGTCACTGAGCCATCTCCCCAGGCCACCTTTTACTTTAGACAATGTCTCATGTAGCCCAGGCTGGCCTCAAACTCACTGTGTAGCTGAGGACTACCTTGGACTTGTTGATCCTCCTGCCTCTACCTCCCAAGTGCTGGGATCACAGGCGTGTGCCCCCAGGTTTCTTAGGGATAGTACCCAGTCGCACGCATGCCAGGAAAGCATTCCACCAACTGAGCTACACCTCACCTGTAGCCACTCCTGAGTTTGTAGGTGGAGAGTGACTATGTCAGGGAACAGCAGGCTTGTTTGAGATGAGCCTGGGAAGGGGTTCCTCCCCTCTGCCCTGGCTCTCAGGAATCTCTGAAGACCAGAGGAACTCCGTTACACTTCAGAGACCATTTTCACTCCAGGTGCCTTGGCGATGTCACCATCATTCATGGGAATGTGCTGTCTGACCCAGGGGCATGAGCTACTGTCCTTGGCTTCACACACTCCTGTTCTTGGATGACCCATCCTTCATTCTTCTGGTTGAAAGACTCTCGGCATGACAGGCCATGGGTGGCGGGTAGACAGAGAATAGCCTGCCCTCTGAAGGCATGGACTCAACATCTTATGTCCTGCATGTGTCACAGGTACCTTTGACCGGAGCGTGACCCTGCTGGAGGTGTGTGGGAGCTGGCCTGAGGGCTTTGGGCTGCGGCACATGTCCTCCATGGAGCACACAGAGGAGGGCCTCCGGGAACGGCTTGCAGATGCCATGGCGGAATCACCAAGCCGAGATGTTGTAGGATCTGGAACAGGTAAAGGTGTTAACAGACTTCTAGCCTGACTTGGTTGCGACTGGTGCCTGTGGGGTTGAGCAGTGGGGAGAGGGCATGTTTTTAACCATTTGTTTCCACGGTTTAGCGCTCTTGAGTGCTACCCATTACAGAAGCCCGTGACACTGGAAAGTCCTATGGGAAGGAGAGTTCCCAGCAGAACTGCCTCTCCCCCTGGAGCAACACTCAAAATACCCTGAAAATTACAATTGTAGGTCTGGGGCTGCAGCTCAGCATCGGAGTCATTGATTGGCCTGCATGATCCCTAACTATGAGAGAAAGAAACAGACAGACAGTTGTACTTGTTAGTCATTCACAAAAACAAAACAAAACCACCTCAGGGGAAAGAGGACATAAGTAGGAGCACACCTTCCCCTTCATGTTCCAGTCTCTGGAGACTGGGATCTGCCAGCAAGCTGCAGAGCAGCCTCAAGCATACACTCCCCCCCATCCACACACACACACACAGCTTTTCCTTCATGTGTCTTTCACCCCAGACTAGTATCTTTGAGAGTGCAGCATATTCCAAAGTGGCTTCCTGCATCCATATGGTGATTTTAAGACATCCTATGTCTAGAAGTGAACCCTACCCCATATGAATGCATGTACACACACACACACACACACACACACACACACACAGAGTCATCCCATTTCCATCCTGCTGTAATTTGTGCTTCCTGTGCCTCTCCTATCTCTAAGACACTTCTTTCTTCTTTTCTTTCTCTCTCTTTCTCCACTGTTACTAATGTTCCAGCCCTGTGTTAACACCCACCCACCAGGCTCTGTCCCAGTTTGCTGAGGTCAATGAGTTAAACAGATCCCGATTCCCTGATTTCAGGCCTGCCTTCTCTTTCTCTCCTCTCAGAGCATCATCTCCCATGTGACCTGTCCCATCCCCGCCCCGCTCTACTGTAGAAAAGGGACCCAGTAAAGAGAAGCTTAGAATCCCTGGCGTGGGTGAATGTGACATGCCTGCTGTTCTGTGGGTTCTGGGGCTATTAGGTTCAGCAGTGAGGCTCCCCATCGCTGTATCTCTGGCCTAGTTCTGCTCCTTCACTAAGAGGGCAGAGGTGTAGCACCTCTTCAGCTTAGTGGTTTCTGCCTAAGTAGTCATTGGCACCTGCAGAGTGCAGTGGATGGGTGGGAAGAGTTAATCTAGGGATAGGGAACACCGATCAGGCCCTACATGGCAGCTGTCTCAGAGGCCTGGCTACTCTGATGCCCCCATCTTCCCTGGAAAGAAAGGAGGTATGGCCTTCCAAAGCTGCAGCAGGCTGAACCCCTCTACCAGGCACACACATGCATAGACCACCTGCATCCTCACATCCTGAAAGCATAGTGAATTCATTCCTCTACATCCTCTATATCCAGGGATAGCAGCTCTTCCTCCCCCCCCCCCCCCCCCCCCCCTTGGG